ACCAGACCAAATGGGATCAGATCAAGTAGTGCCAGCAGATGAATTAGCCGTTGTATAACTAGATGAATTAGCCGTTGTATAACTAGATGAGTTAGTGGTTGGTGCAGTTGTTGTATTTACAGTAGTGGTTGGTGCAGCTGTTGTCTTTACACCTGAAACGTCCAAAAACAGTTATGAATGCATTCAATGCGTTATACTTCCTCACTTGCCACACCGATTAAGTTTGTTTATTAGATTGATTTATCAAAGACAACTTAGCACAGTAATTATACATAATAAAAAAACATGGAAGAACAAAAGTGTCATGTCATCCATATATGATAATACTATGAAAGAGTATATTATATATTAATCACAATTTTCAATTGCATTAATCTTTGGTCCAACAAGTGATAATTTGACAAAATGCGCATCCATGAAACATCTATAAAGAATATTAGAACAATTTACCTCCTGTTGGGATGAAGCACCATTTCCTTCCATTTGTACCATAGAATTGCACAGAATTCTCAGACATAAAAATATCGTCATAACAACAGCCTGCGGCGAGGCACTCATCAGGGGTCACAAATGGGGCCTTCAGTTTGTCGTTACAATCCTTGCGATCAGATGAGCGAATATTGCAAGAGGGCTCTGTAACGAATAAATAGACGATATGAAAAAGGGCGTTGCTATCGTAAAGCCATAATTTATGAGTTTAGTATAGAAATTGTGTCTGAAAATCTGATTATTAACAATAAATTTGATTAAAACAAATGAAGCGTTTTTATTGATTTTCATAACTAAAAAGAAAAAACAGAATCAGTGGATCAAACCTGATGTKTGATCCGAAACRAAGGAAATTATCCTTCGTTAATAAATGGTAAAGCAAGAAGACAAGATCGATCAATTTATCCAAGCAAATATAAAGAGGGCGACCCTCTACAATGTCGTGCATCGTGATKAAAAATAAGGCACGTGTGTATCAAAATTAGAATAACTTTTCCCTGATTTTTTATACACACACTGTAAATTCTATGGAGGTATTTCAACTCCTCCATGGAGTTGAACTCTCTACGAGGGAGTAGATTGGAAGAAATTTTCGTGGAGTTAAATAACTTCAAAAATGGAGTTATTCTGTCACCGATATTTAGCTCCATTATCGGAGTTAAAACAACTACATGGAATTTACACTGCAGAGTGCATCAAATCTAAATAAGAACTAAGAATTGACGTTTCCATAACAAAGGAAACAAAGTATGACATACTATAAGTACTATTTTTATAAGTATTATTTTTTCTATTCGCAAGAATAAAAGATCTAACAAAATTAACCTTCAAAAAATAATATACCTGGTTCTTTGCGAGCCAAGACATTTGTTGGTGCCAATTTATAGTAGTTCGAATAAGCATGTGAGGCAGGAGCATAGTGTGCAGTCACATATGTACCATCGCCTTCCTTGATATTCAATCCYCATCCAAGCTTAGTCTCGCTCTTCCAAACCACTGCCATGAAATGACGAACTACCTGGCCATTTCCTTTACCAGTTGCGTAATTGTAATCGTTTTTGATCTCTGAATACCAACTTCTTGTAGCACCAGGGATGGCTCCTTCATACTTGTCCATGCCTTCCCAACCCCAGCCTTTCCAGGAAACACTCTCAGTAAACTTGTCTGTCCACTTTGAATGGTGCTTTTTTCCAGCACGAGCCTGTTCGTCCGTCCATTTCTGAGCAGACCTTGCCAGTTCAGGATCACACTTCAWTGGTGGAGCATTGTGAAGAGAGCGATAGTAGTTATGCATTTTGAGACAAAGAAGCTGACAAGCGGGATCACATGCTGTTTAGAGAAAAAATACTTAAAAAATGGTAATTGTATAATAATGGTACAAGAACAATGGATACTAATGAGGAATCCTTTGTTTGAGTTCCTTCAAGATGGCCGCTTTGCATAGTGAAAACGAAGAATACAATATCTTATACTTGATTATTTTTTGATCAGTTATAGAAATAAGATAAAAGTCAAAGCAAAAACAATGGAAAAACAACAAACAAACCAAAAATAACAGCAACAAACAAACAACACCCACACAAAAACAACACGGTTAATTCTTGAGTTTTAGACATGAAGTTTCACTGCGAAAATATGCAAAAATTACAATTTATCCATTGGTCTACAAGTAGACTCATCTAATCAAGGTAGACCAATGGATTACAATTTGTATTTCTGAGAGGAAGAATACAAGAGACCATAGTTAATAGACTTGAATAGAGAGGTCTCTCTAACTATTAACTATGATAAGACATATCGATGGTTTGAAAAGCTATCAGAATTGTGCGAATGAAAATTGTATTGAAGATTGAAGCTATAAGCACGTTAAATAAAAATGATAGTTATGGTCAAAACACAACCGCAAGAGTAATCGACATTAAGTCAGCAAGGATATATTTGAAAAAAGTCTACTTACTTAGGCCCTGACCACAAGTTCCTACGTTTGTCCAGTGAGGCTCATTTGCAGCTGAAAATTTGTTACTTGATTAGTTTCAGTTTTATGATGAAAATGTTTCGTGTCATCGATTTTCACTTGCATGTTGTAGTAGATAAATACTGGTGTATTCAAATGATTTGTAATATATGCAGTTATCAGTCGAAGTGTTTTTTTTCAATTTTTCTGTACAGCCTGGATAAGAATGGAGTCGTTTACCACCTCGCAGACGTTTTCCGAGCGCCGGAAGGCAAATATTTTGAAAACTGTTTAATGACCAAAATCACGAATATACTTCGTCTCTTGAAATCCGTAGAGCTAGAGCAAACGCAGGAAAACCATGAAATAAAATCATACTAACAATTCAGTGTCAGTATCAATGAACCAGAACACAATGAAGATGAATCCACATGGGACCATTTTTAATTCGTCTTCATGATTATGTTTTGCGGTTCATCGTTACTGGCAAATTGTCTCTAAATAGAAGCTATTTATTAGTATTTAGTTTGATTTTATTTCATGGCTTTCCTGCGTTTGCTCTATTACGGAATGTGAAAGCCTTTCCAATTTTATGGCAATGAAACGAGGTAACCCTCGGAGTTATGTCAGTGGGATTAGATTAACTTTTAAACCTACCCAGTATCGCTATAAAATACAATTGTAGCAACACTACTAATCTTGTGATATCTGGCATGGTCACTTTGATGGTCTGAAACTAAATAAAAACCTCTTTGAATGTTAATTGAATCCCTCTATTTCCTCACAAATTGAAATTATTATCGACAATTTCAATAATACGAGACGAAAAAGAACTTTATCCGGGAATTCTTTTTAAAGTCAAGTAGAATGTATTACACCAAGTTATGAAAACTACTGCCGTTAAAATCAAAAGTGCATATACCGAGTACTCCATGATGACGATTTGACTCGAACACAGTCGTGTAATCAGGTAACAGGTTTTTCAACGGCTGTTTAAATGCAGGTACTCCAATTCCCAGAACATCAACCAGATCTCCTCTACTAAAAAACAATTTGTACAGCAATTCACAAAGTTTGACCTAAAGGTTTAGGTCCGTGCACCAACTGATACGTCGAATCGCAGGGACATTGAAAACACCGCCCTATTTTATGGTGCTAGGATTTTATACAATACCCTTATATGCAAATTAAAGACTGTTGAAGTTATAATTACAATATTTGAGTCACGGAACCTTTCGTGCCCGTGTTCTACTAGTTGTATGTCCTCACTCTTACAAGTGTACAAATCTAGTGATTGTTCATCGTGGTCTTTAGACTTGCCGTGGAAGCGGAGTTTCATCAGCCAAGTTGGTCTTTATACACTGTTCATGTCCCTCATTCAACCCCCATTCTCCCATATAGCGCCCACAGGCTCTCTTAACATTTTAATTTTCGTTGTTTTACAATGCCATCAGCAAGTGGTTTATTGTACCTTCGTTGTATATGGTCATCGAGACGTAAAGGAAATGTTGTCAAGCTCACCACCACGCAACTAGGCGGTTTGAATAACTTGTCCGGTACAGCGCCRAAGTGGTTCAAATATCACAATTATTGCAGAACAAGAATATCAACATTCACTTTTAATTCTAAATTTCTGAAGGTCTTTTTTACATTTTATTCTGGCAATTGTTGTATATTTTCACGAAAACAGCGAACAAGGAAAGCACAAGACATGAAATAGTGCGGATATCGGTTTAAATAGGCAAATCACATTCGAGAAAATTGCAGCTTTTTATCTTAAATATTTAATTAATTCCTTTTTTAGGTTTGTCCAAACTTGAATGATTTCATGATCATTAAACGCTATTGCGCAATATTGCGTAATTCATGGATCATGAAACAGATTCTTAGTGGGGGCACTACAAACTCCATGTTTGATGTTTTACGTTTGGCTTGAATCCGTTTACACGTCACCATGGATCCTCGTGCCCAGACCCTTACAAGTTTCCCAATGAAAAATCGGAGGGTCTGGTATGAGATGATACCCGAAGACTCAGAATCTGGATCGTGCTAAACACAGATGGCTCATGGGAATGTTTGAACCAATCAAAAGACTTATTCGTCTCCAACCAATTTTTCGTCTAAGCCGAGAACGATCTGGGTACGAGGATGACACGGGACTTTATTCTCTCCAACATAGCAGGCATTCTCGGCAACTAAGGGGAAATCAACTTCAAATGATAACCCCAAGCTATTATGGTAGTTCAAGACAAAACTATGCAAATCATGAAGTGTTTTCAAGTTACAATTTTAACTAGAAGATCCACCCATAGTACTGATAGTGATGGTTTACACTGTTCGTATAATAAAGGAATTTATCTTGGGACGACTGACGTGAACAAAATCCTAAACAATGACCAGCTACTTCTTAACATTAATCAGGGCAGTCGAAGGAGTGTTGTCCCGTAGACTATATTGCATAACTGCATAAATGTAATTCAAAGTTATTTCTATGAGGACAAATGACTTCTTAAAGTCAATCAAATAATTTAGTTTTTAGACAGTATTTCTCAATTAATTCAAATAATACCTCATTGAAAAAGAGAATTATTTTGCCGTTCTACTGCAAAGCTACAGTACTTGGCTACCGTGGAGAGGCGCTTTGACATTGTTTGCATACGATGGAGAATCACTCGAAAACAACTGAACGAAATAGTCAGCATTGTTCAAAGTGACAGCTATGACGTAATGCGCATTCAATGCACCGTATAAATCCATCCATTTACTTTACACAGTATCACAGAAGCTTATTCTTGGATTTGACTAAGTGCAAGTTCAACAGAACAACCTTGAGAAGAACCTTGTCTTTCCAAGTACAGCCTGATATGTATCTTGACCATTCTGAACGTCGTTGCTAAGCATGTGTAAAGACATCCAAAGAAGAATTGCATCCGTAAAAAAAGGATAGTGGTTTCATTATGTATTCTATATTTTTCCCTTTTTTTTTGTCTTTTCGGTGGAACCTAATGAAAACCACCCTAACGTCCACATTATATGCACTTTTATACAAAAATACTTAACACCGTTGCCTGAAAGCAGTTTTTCGTCTACATTGTTGACTCAAATCCTTTGCTTTTTCTTTTACTTGGCTTAAACCATGCAAACTCCTCATTGAGTTCAGTTTTTGGATTATCTTTTAGGTCGTCATGGTGATTAAACGTTTCCATGGGAACACTATTTGGCCCATACTCATAGGGTGAGGCATGGGGAGAGTCTCCAAGTAAAGCGTTTCCAGGGGTAACACGGTCTAGAGTTCCTATGTCACTTTGATCTTCATCTTGCTCTTCTTCTCCTTTGTTTCGCTTTTTCTTTATTTTCCAGAAAACAAGGATAGCAATGAGAACTAGAGCAAGAGCGCCAATACCGATTCCAACAGCAATAAATCGATTGAAAGCTGCAAACAGACATTATGACAGAAAATCAGAACAAAATATCTATACTATCTGGCTACCTGGTAAATGTACCTATCAGTTTTTTACTTACGTTTATTAACAGCAGAATATCTGGCTTTAAAACCATGGCTTGTTCCTACAAAATCAGACACAAACTGTAACCACAAAGAAGATCCAGTAGAGTAGACTTCACCTGGTTTCTTGTTTCCACAATTCCTGTCCCCAATGCGAGGACTACTTTTCTGACTGCCATCTCGTATTTCCAGGTAATCTCCTTGACATCCAAGTTGGTCATCAATCCAAAAATCTTCAAATACAAGATGTATTCTCTTGCTACTTGAAACAGTTATTCTCCAAGTGCAACTGATGCCATTGGGATACTGGGATGGGTACATAGGGCTCAGGACAAATCCTGATGAGCCAGACAGTTGTAAATTATTGTTCACGTCATTGGTGTTTAAAGGGCTACACACTCCTGGCTGGATGCCTGGCGTTGTGGTGATTTTTGGTGCTACAGAAGATGTAAAAAACTCATTTAGAACAGAAAATAATAATTGCTATGTATATGTGAATATCTTGCCATAAAAACATAAAAAATAGTGCATTGCAAAAAAAGAACACTTTCAATCTGCTAGGATTCCCTCTTCCTATCCATGGAATAAACTAGCCATGGAATGATAATATGGTCATGTACAAATGCCTATGCATTTCCACTGATATTGATAGCACTGACTTGTAACTATTGCATTCACATCAAAACCTCAAATTAGAGAAGCTAAAAGATTCACCTTGTGTACCAGTTGCTGCCTCAAATACAGCAAGGAATCCTTTTCCACTTTTAGCAAGATTACTACTAAAGGTAATATGCATGTGCTGAGTTGGAGAGACAAGTATCTGAGGAAGTGATGAACCACAAAGTTTTGCTAGCAGTTTCCTTCCATCTTTTACTTCAACTTTATCAGAACAACTTGATCCTGGTTCAAGCTGAAATGACTCAAACTTCAGTCTAACATGAAGACCTGTAGGGACCYTCACTTTCCATGTACAATCAATACTATTTGGGTATTCTATTGGGTAACCAGGTGTGAAAATACTACCCGCAATACCACTAAGATGTACTACTTTGCTGCTAGCATCACATGATCCAGATTTTTCTACAAAAGAAAAGAGAATAATTAGCTACTTTGACACTATCATAATGAACTTATAAATCAATCAATCAACCAATCAAGCAATGAATGACAAGTTCAGTGATGGATCAATCTATCAATGATTCAATAAATAAACAAATCAATTCATTGCATGTAGGTCATTAATATTCAACTTACTCTGCTGGATAGCCTTGAATGCCATTTTAAAACCAACAGCAAGTTTTGAATTCTTTGCTCTCCAGCGAAGAGACAAATACCTCCCACTTGAAAATATTGAATGAGGTTTTGTCTTCTTACAGAACAATCCAAGCCTTGCACCATGGCCAATGCCATACCAACCATTGTAAACTTCTAGTGATGAATCAATGCATGTTGCTTTTTCTTTCCCAGTGAATGATATGAGTGTAATATTGATGCCATTATTTTGAGGAAGAGCAATTTTCCAGGTACAATCAACTGATCCAGAGTAAGAGTCAGGGAATTGAGGAGGTTTGATTAACCCTGTTGTAGTTTGTTGTAAAAGAATGTTGCTATTTTCATCAATAGTATTCTGAGAGGAACATGCTAATCCTAAAAAAAATATACAATTGAATTACTCTATGAGATATATTGTGTCAACCTACATGTATAAATACAAAATTCTTAAAGCCATTTCCGTTAAATATCATAGGTTATCAAATTAGTTAATAATTCATAAGGAAAACACAATGGAAAATCATTGCCGTGATGCATCTTAATATGTTTAGTTCATCTATGATTCAAATCACTTACAGACAGTGATAATTGCTCTTTTTTTACATTGACACAAGTTTAACAAAGATACCTTTCCTAACTGCAGAATATTTGGCTACAAATCCCTTGGCTGATGTTAACAGTGTATTTTTAAACACGACTTTCAAGTTCCCACCACTGGAATATATAGTCTGAGGTGTACGACTTCCACAAAACCTGCCAACAACTTCACTATTGCCTTGGGCATCCTCCTCTATAACTTGTACATATGCATAGGGACATTGTTGTACAGCAGAATCACTTGTTGTATAAATAGAAAAGGCACTAAATGTTAACTTAACAAGATGTCCAAAAGGAGCTATAATAATCCATATACAATTACTATAAAGTGGGTAGTTTTGAGGATAGTTTGGACTTGTAAAGTTTTGTACAACTGATGAAGACGAATTTATAACAAAAGAATTCTGACTTTTGTTGCAGATAGGCAGATGAGAGTTGATATCTGAAAAGAAAGAACACTTTGATTGGCTAAATGCAATTGATTCAAGTATCTCTTGATTTAAGCATTGGTTTATTATCGAAAAGTACTTTGTAGTGCATAATTAGTGTGACAGAAAACATTACTTAACATCATAATTCAATTAAACTAACATCATTTCATTCATTTACCTTGAGATGAAACAACAGAAACTTGACAGAATGACAAGAAATAAATAAACAGAAAGAGCAGGACTGTAGATAAAATATATATAAACTTTATTTAATATAGGTTCACAATAAACTGCCGCCATTGTATTGTCTAGTATGAAGACAAAGGCATCAATGCATCTGATTTATTAATGAGAATGACATCCATCACTTGGAAGTGAGTAAGACAAGTGATCAATGTTCTACATTTATGTTTATTAGTTACTAGTATCAGTATAATCAGATATACTATATGTACAACCAACATGAGAATGAACCCTGCGAGTTTAAGGGTTTATAAGCTTAAAGTTTAATAAATTTTCTCGAAATCAGTCTTGGCCTCTTCAACTTCAGACGCATGAAGGGGCATAAATAATATATGACAAAGTCTTTAAGTTGCTTACTTCTCCGTAAAAATCATCAGTGAATAATCAATTAAAATCCTAAATTCATGACCCACAATAGGACAGAGGGTTCATAATTGTTAAGCTTTTAGAATCAATATTCAATTTCAACCAAATTCACAATAACAACTCTGTCACAATACACCACCAAACCACGGATAATTAATGAATTATGAATACAACAAACTTACCAATTAGTTGTCTAGTGATTAGAGTTTCTAGTAACAACTTCATTTTCTTGTTCGACATTTTTCGCAGTTGTGATCTTGAGACATTTTCTTTGGGTATGTTGTTTGGAATGTTTAAGGAGCACGCGAGATGATTGGCTTGCGGTTACCACCTAGACACGTGATCACCTTGCAATTTCCCGCGGATTTCCTTTAATACCAGTTAAAAAACAAAAAGGACATTTACTATTCAAAACAATGAATAACTCTCAGAGAATGTTTTGCTAGTCTCCACGTTATTGCTCTTTGGATAACATTTGCAATAAATGATAAGTCTTGCGAGAAAAGCGCTATCAGGGCGAGAGATCTCGCCCTGGCGCTATTGATTCAATTCATTGCGCTTTTCTCTCGACTCTCATTATTTATTCCTTCGACGGCAGCTTTTAAYGTCTACTAAGATTTGATCATGTTTTTATTATTTGGTCAAAAAATTCAAACATTATTATTGTCCAGGCCCCATGCGCTAATACCGATATCTATTGAGGGGAGGTCGCGCTGCGTTGACGTACGTCATTTATCAGGCCGAGTTTTTAATGTATTTGCAGCTGGTATTTGCCAAGATGGGAGGCTTTTCTGTAATGCTTTATTTCTTTGGTAAGTTATGTTTTGATTTTCTTGTAAGTTATATTTTCTGATTTTGTTGCGTACTTGAAAATACAATCGATATAAACTTAAGAGCTAAAAAGTACTTAAATATGCATTACGCCGGTACCGTTGTAATAATATCAATCTTTCTTTGTATAAACCGAAGCTAGGTTTAACTGAGATTATATCCTTTGACACACTACTGATCTTTCCATGCGTTAAAATCACAAATCAGTTGGTTTAGGTTAGTTTTAAGTAAAATTTCCAAATTTATTGCACCTGGTCGCCATGGAAATAAGATAATATAAGTTAACTTACTCTTAATTGCAGAATTCACCAAAAAATGTCATTATTCATTCGTGATATGATTATGTTTTTCCATCTTTTTATAGTGCTTTTAAATTTATGTGGCGTCATTACTTCAACATGACAAGTATTATAGGAACTTCAGAATTTGAATGTGATACATACATGTACTAAGCCTGGAGAGCTATTCCCCTTCATTTGCTAAAAGGATATATGCTTTGCTATAGGGTATGTTTTTTTGGTTTTAGTTTTTGCACTCTATAGCACTTTAAGTAGTTAAGCATGAATGCAGACATTTTTAGTTTTTAGTATTGCCTAACAGAAATTTTGTTTTAACTGTAGATTGTCCTACGCAATATTTCAGTGCAGCGACATATTCATAGACTTTACACAGTAAGAACTATCCACAAGACGTCTATCCCTTGGCCACTACATGTTATTGGAGAATAACTGCCCCTTATGGCTATGTAATACAGTTGAAATTTATTGACTTCACCACTTATAAGTATATATATCAGTCAACCTGCTCAAGTTATTCTAGTCATACTCTATTTATCTATGATGGAAGTTCAGCAGTGAGTATAGTCTCCTTCTTGGGGCATATTTTGGTAATGCTTTACCAGCCAATMTTATATCAAGTGGTAGATATATGTATCTTAAATTCCGGGTGTATTATAACAGCCATCCTAACAAAGGTTTTAACTTGACGTTCACAGCTGTTAAAGACTCACGTAAGTATCCATTTACTAATTCAATATTTATAAGAAGTTAATATTTATAGGCCTATAATGATGCATGGACTTTAACATGAAAAGGCCAAATTAATGAGACCTTTGAATGACTTCTCACAAGCTCCATTTAAAGGTCTCATTAATTTGGCTTTTTCATGTTTAAGTCCATGCATTATTAAAATAATTTTTTGTGAGGAACCATTTTGCACATTTAGTACTTTGACTTTATACCATTAATAATAAAAATTACCATGCTGTGGTATTTCCAGGAAAATTTCCTGGAATGCATGTGGTAAAAATTGATATCTGTCTTGTCATAGTTAGTAGAGGGGAATATTCCCCTCTACTAACTATGGTCTTGTGAATAAAAGTTCGAGAAAAAGATTTGCATATTTGGTCATTACAATATTCTGACTTTTTTTTTCTCATTTTAATTCTGTTTTATTTTTCTAGCTGACAATATCAACATCTGTTCACCATTGAATTCATTCTCAACAAACAATAACATTAGACTGTATGCATCATCCGGTTATCAAGAAATCCAAAGTCCTTTATATCCAGACAAATATCCTAGCAACARTCAATGCACATGGTACATTACTGCTTCATCAAGCTTACGCAAGATTCTTCTTACATATAAAAATGCAAGTATATTCAGTAGTTCATCTACTTCAAGTTCATGCGGTAGTACACGAGATATCCTAACTATACATAATGGACGCTACAGTTACAGCAAAAATCTACAATCCATATGCAGCAAAACCACATCAAATATTACGGTGAAATCTTCATCCAGATACATGACAATTCGTTTTAAGACAGACAGTGATAACTACTTTGTTGGTAACACAGCAAYATTTTTACTGAAGTTCAAGGAAGTTGATGAATCAACATTTAGTATTGGTAAGGAATGTCCTGGTCATTACTGACTTKATAATATTTGATCTGTAATAGATAGGTACAATATGACTAGAGATACAGTGTAATAATGTATTGTTGAGGAGCTTCTTTAGGCCATTATGCAGACTGTCTGCAAATATTCTAACATGATTAATTCTCAACTTCCAACAATTTGATAAGAATAGTATTTTAAAAAGAAAATCTTTTAGTTAGTTAAAGTCTCTCTTGCTTATCAACAGATTTGGTCACGGCAATGATTTTCCATGTGTTTACCTTATGTATTTTAATGAATTTGATAAACACATCRCACCTATAGTTTGTGAGAACTGGTAAATGAGGCAAAATGATGTAGAGTGTTTCCACAATGTTTTTATATTTCTTTAACGGTTTGAAATACGTTGAAATTACAAACCTGAAAGGTTTAAAAATATAACGGGTTATATTTTGCTGTGTTTTTCACAGATCCATCAATTTGTTCACCTGGCAACAGCAACTACACAAACAACAACATCAGGGTGAGAGCATCCTCCAAAGCAAAGTATATCACCAGTCCTTGGTATCCTCTGCGATATCCAACCAACATCCAGTGTACTTGGTACATAACAGCATCATCAAACTCCAAGAGAATTAGACTTACTTCTTCTTACACCAAGCTATATAATAGGAATTACTATCCATGCAACAGATACTCAACTGACAAAGATATCCTGATTATTACTGATGGCGCAAGTAAATCTAGCAACCTTTTGAAAGTAGTGTGTGGTTCCTCGTATTCAACAGTTAGATCTACTGGTAGATATATGACAGTCCAATTCAAGACCAATTCTGATGACTACTTTCTAAGCAGTAAACCAGGCTTTGAATTAAAGTATTACGAGTATGAGTATGATGAAGACTCAGAAAATACATGTAAGTACATCACAATTATTATCAACCTAGATTTGTATACTTCTTTCTTTCATTGTGTGAGGAATGTTTGTAGTTTGAAACCAGTTTGCATCAAATGCAGTCAAAAGTTTTATTTCGTAAATATATGACAATGGTCAATTATTTAATGGAGCACAAACATGCTATGATCAGAATATTGTTTAATGGTTACTTTTATCACTGTCTGGATAATTACAGCAATCTGATATTACCTAGAATAAAATACTGCAGCCGTTTCTTTGTCAAACTGACCCGAGACCTATATTAATCTCTGGATAGTGGTGTTTTCTCCATATATTTGACTGACTTGAGATTTTTTAATCCTTCTAGCAAATATTGGTAAGATAATTGGCATCTTTATTGCTGTGTCATTTGGTTTTTCTTTTGTGGCATGCTGTACTCGTTATGTCAAAAGAGTACATTCTCCAGGCCAAACACACTGTGTTCCAGCTTCTACAGTGTTACAAACAACTACAATTACAAGGACTGGTGCAACACCTTCTGCTCCTCAATATCCCATACAAGATGGAATCACTCCCCCAATGCAAAGTAACAACTTCTCGCTGRTCACTGGAAACTATGCAACTCAAGGTCCAGGTCAGGGTAGCTACCAATCACAAGGGCAAGGCAGCTACCCACCACCTGGTCAAGGCAGCTACCTACCACCAGGTCAAGGCTATCCACCTCCAGGGCAAGGCACCCACCCATCAACAGGGAAAGGCAGCTACCCATCACCTGGTCAAGGCAGCTACCAACCACCAGGTCAAGACTATCCACCTCCAGGGCAAGGCATCCACCCATCAACAGGGCAAGGCAGCTACCAACCACCTGGTCAAGGCAGCTACCCACCACCTGGTCAAGGCAGCTACCTACCGCCAGGTCAAGACTATCCACCTCCAGGGCAAGGCATCCACCCATCAACAGGGCAAGGTAGCTACCCACCACCAAGTCATGACAACAACCCATCCATTAGTCAAGCCACCTACTTGCCTGTAAGTCATGGCAGCCACCTTCCACCAGGGCAGAGAAACTACCCACTGCCTGGCCAAGACAGCTACCCAAACAGCCAATTCAACTACTCAATATCAAACAACTATCCATCAGATCCTCCCCCTCCTTACCTGCCACCAGTCGATGATCCGATACCTAATTTACCTCCACCAAAGTATCCAGGGCCATCAATCTAAATCAACATCAATGAAATACTCCTTACACTGTACATTTCATGGTCATTTTTGATACATTTCCTTAGTATACTAACCAATCTTAAAGACACTACTCTTTTAAGCTGGTGAACATCAAGCTGTACTAACCAAGATTTTGACCTTCAATTCTTACACCAAGTAATGAAAACTGCTCATCCAAACCATCACAGCACATCACAGCTGATGGTACACTGTTAGTCAAATGCCCAAGACGTGTAAGAGTGGTTTTCAAAAACCTATGAATACTGTTTAGCATACCAACATTATTTTGCAAGTTACCTTATAGGCTATTCACACATTACTGCACTTTGTTTCATAGGTTCATGAAAAGCTACTCTAAGGATGTTATGTGTGTTCTTCATGTATGTAACTAAGAGTGGGTTATGGATTATTAATGGCAAAATTAATTAGAGGCCTCAATAATGTCATTCCATCAAATAAATATTTGAAATTGGTTTCATGTGATATTT